AAGAGGAAAATGTGTTCATTACTTCAAATCAAGTTCAGTATGATGACTGATCTACCCAGTTCATACAGTACTAGTTATGATTGGCCAGATCAACTGTGGCCTGAGACTAAAAGAAGCAAGGATCCAGGAAAAGAGACAACAGAAAGAGAATGTTTTATCATGGTGATGTTTGGGATTATCATATAACCGGAGGCAACCAAAGAATCAAGTTTTGCCCATAAAGTCTGTCCTGGTTGTCTCAGAAACCTAGAAAAAGTATGCACACAGCATACTGGAATACCTTTATAATGTGCTCTTGGACACACTTATCCCCAGTGGAGGAAAGCTCACTTATGCTGGTCCCCATCCCCCAAAGGAGCTCAATGATTCCCAATAAGGGAGTCTCATCACTGCAGCATGAATCACAAAGCACTTGTGAATATACTGAATCACTTGTGTACTTCCTCCTGTTTCCCTACTTCTTTCAGGCGGTAACTGAGTTACTACTTATTAAGCAAAGCCTTCATATTGAACTAATTTTACCTTCATAATTCTCCTATCCCAGTGACCTTATATGTTAATTCAACAAAAATTGATGTAATACTCATGATATTTCAGGTGCTTTGTATGGACTGATGGACTGATGACAGTAGATCTCTTAGATAGATACTGGATCTTGGAAATTATTTATTGAGGTCACTGAGCACTTACAGCATCATTTCACTTCTCGCTATGTCAAAGCACCTTGCTTTATTGTTTGCCACTTTTTAAACATGAAATTTTGTACAAAGCTTCCATTTTACTGGTGGCACAGTCAAGAATATGTACCAAGTCTCTCTGCCTAGACATCATCCACTTCAAGTTTTGGCATAGAATAGTTGGGGATAGGTGTGGAAGTAACAGATGCAGGCCCTAGTAGCTGCAAACTACCTCATCCAGACCTCGCTGTCAGCCCAACTGAAGACAGATGGTTAAGGACTGGCATCTCTCCTTTCAGTGATTCAGCACAACTATACCTGACTCATGGACTTGACATCAGCATTAGCTCCTTCATCGGAGGCAAATGGGAGGCTTCAATGAATTAGGAGAATAGTTTCTCATCACAAAGAGATTTTACCTTTGAATGCAGGGGAGACAGATTTCTAAGCCATGATATTAAATTATTAAATCTTTGGTAATCCAACTTACCCCTTTAATACATTACAGTCCCATGGAAAACACTGCTGTAAGAAGACAATTATTATTCCAAATTCACAAGGTATTTTCCTGAGCTAGAATAAAAATAGTTAAATCCCAGTCAAGCCATGAGCATTACAGCAATTTCACTCTTTCACACCTATGTCCATCCTGTTTTCTTTGCCTGGAAGTACCACTTCTCTCCACTTGGAAAACCCATCATGGATGTTACCCTCTGGGTGATGTTTTTTTGTGTGTGTTCTCCCAAAGGTAGACAGTAATGCTTTATCTTCTTTCTTTCATTACATATTCTCATTGAACACACTTTCATTGGAACACTGATTGTTTTCATGTTCATTTCAACTCAGTTGTAAACTCCTTGAAAACAAAGACATCTTTATGCTTGTTTCCTTAGTGCCAGGCTAATAGCAGGGATTCAATACTCTTTAGTGAAATAAGCATTATTATGGTCACATGAAGTAAGTGGCTAACATTAAATGGACAAGGGACAGAAACCCACAATAATTATTTGTCCATGTCCCCAGTGACTTCCCCAGCTGTGAAAAGGTGTGAGTCATCAACACTGTTTCTTCCATTCATGGTAATAATGTCAATTCTGAATAAAATGAATGTCAAGGGAAGCCTTAAAATGAAAAGATAGCTATTCATTCAGGTAGGCATTCAGCAAACATTTACTGATTAATCACTACGTGCCATAAAAGATGAGATAAATGACACAGTGCCTGTCCTCAAGGAGATAAGAAAATAAGTCACTAGAATACAGGGTTCTAAGTGTTGAGCACTGAAATAAGACAAGCATCTTCTCCAGACTAGGTGAGTCAGAAAGGATTCTCTGAGGGGGCTATGCTCTATGCCCTGAAAGACCAATAGGAATTAAGTGTGAAAAAAGCATAGTGAGCACTCCAAGTAAACGAAAGAGCCACATGACTGTTCACTGCTGAGAAAGAAGCTAGCCCTTCCATGGACCTGGGAGTGGTTTGATATAGTGGGATTTGTGGCCTCAGGAATAAAGATAGAAAAAGGAAAAAAGAAGTTTCACCAGGTTGTAAGCTAGTAATGGGAAAGTATAAATGCATGTGAATGAACCTTAGGTCTCTAAAGGTACTCATTTAGTGGATTGTAACTACATGATCCAGAAGTTCTTATAGGACAGTTTTGCTCAAATCAGAGTTGGGGACAGATAATCCAATTTAACATAACTTGAGGATTTTTTTAAAAAAATTTAAGACAATTATACTAATCCTATGTATTAACATTTTAAAAGTAGATTATATTAAAATCTATAAGGCAGCTATACCAAACATTTTAAAATAGATGTTAAAAATTAATATTTTAAAACATTCTTTTAAGCCTAGAAAAATGGTTACCAATCGATTTTTAACATATTGACATGGCTAGTTTGCAGAAAAACACATTTTGTTAAAACAGATTATATATTTTAGTTCTTGAGCACTTTACATTGATCAGTCAGTCTAATAGAGTTTTATCCTCATGGGTGAGCGATTTGACTTAGAACAAAATTAAAGTGTCCATAAGAACCTTCAACAGTAATTTCCTGGACTGAATTTAATCTAAATTCAGCTTTGTATGAGAAATGCGACATTTCTGCTAACTCTAATTCTGAATTTTGTCTTTGAATTCCCAAATCAACATTAACTCCCTCTAGAGTGTTGCTGTTATTTTACTAAATTCATGTACGGGAGACCTACTTGTTTTTCTGAGAAAATCATGGAGCACAGGAATAGTCTTATTTTCAAAACAATACCCAAAGAGGAGAACACAGAATTTTCAAGGGATACACTTGTTTAAAAGTCAGGAAGAACTAGAAATCAGTTCCAGTGGTAGAGCAAACCTCAACATTATCTATACAAATAGAATAATTCAAAATCTGTGCTAGGATTTTCAAAAGTCTCAAAATCATATTTGTGAACTTTTAATGAGTAATAAGAGAAAGCAAATCAAATTGTATATACTCATTTACATCGACTGAATTCAAACATTTAAGAATCTTCTAGAGTAAAAGTCTGTGCTGTTTCAGGTGGTACACAGAGATGAGCCCAGTGACTTCCATATTCAAAGACCCTTCATTGTGTAAGAGCTGATGGATATTGTCCTTCACCAAATATCTCTTCATTATAAATGGAAAAATGCTCATCCACTGAATAAGCACTCTCTCTCACCCTCTATGTCAACAGGTAAACATTTCAAAGCCTTTTGGAAAGGCAAAAAGTAACCGTGATGGAGTAGAATTAAGATATGCTGCTGAGTTGCTTCTGAGGTTCATTTAGAATGTCATTCAGGAATTTTACTGACAGACAAACCAAAACAAACAAAAAAACAAACCCCCCCAAAACCAAGAAATTAGAGTTAACAGGTCTATCAGTACATAAAAGTTGTTGGAAATAAAAGGAAAAATAGTTTCTTTGTAAATCAGCAACACAAAAGAGCAAAGCAGAAGAGAGAAATACAAGAAGAGGAGGACTCTTTAAAGACCTAACTGAAAATCCTATATTGATAAATATATGAGAAAATATTTCGCAGCAAAAAATGCTGATGTTTCTAGGTTTCAAGATATTTCCAAAATATTAATTCTTACCACGTTTGAGATCAATGGGCATAATATTTGCCATTGGTGAAGAAATGTGCCAATTGCCTAGGGCTATGCAGCTTTTCACTCTGTGAACCAGGACTAAAATAGGATTCCTGGCTCTCTGGATTTCTGATATCCAATTTAGCAGACTTCAGCCTTCCACTAGATACTCTGCAAGTTAAGCAGCTCTCATATCAGTTTATGCCAACTGCTTAAATACCCTGTCAGCTCTTCAAGTGTTGTAAGTGTCTAGTGCCTAGGGACCTAATATGTCCTCAAGGGCTAGTACCTATTATTATTTGAAGTTAGATGTTAGTAACAGCTTTAGAAGCTATTATTTCTATAAATATTTCATATTAAAGCACTAATGCTAATGTCTTATTGAAAGAAGTCTTAATTACATATAGGCTGTGGAGCCTCAAATTTATCTTTAGATAGGAAACTGAATTCCCCATCTTGATAAAATGAATCAATATTTATACAATATCAACACAGTTTGTTAAAATCATAAAAGAAAAAAACCAAACAGCTGGAAGGGGGTAGGCAGGTGTGCATATTTGTGCTTATGTTAGAGTACAATTTGTTCTATGTCATGCCACATAACCAGTTCACTTTCCATGAAATCAACTGATTGTTTGGCATTGGATATGCACAGCATATAGAAGAGTGCCTCATGTTTCAATTTTTTGGTTTTAAGTAAAAAAAAACACCTCTTGCTTAGAAACATGTTTCTTGTTGACATGACTGAAAAATCTGGAAGTTAATAGAAGATTGAAAATCAAACACAAGAAAAGTAATGTAAGGAATGTAGAGGAATGGGAGGAAGAAAGAGAAAAAGTGAGAAAGAGGAAGTGGTAAGAGAATGTGTGTTATAATAAAAATACTATTCACTCCATGACTGGTGTGAAACTACTCTTTCTAGGCACTGTTTTGGGTACTGAACAAAATATCATAGGCAGACATTCTAGTGAGTGGAGAAAGAAAATAGACATAGATTATCAGGAGGGATTTATCCTATGGCTATATTGGCATTTTAAATAGGATTGGCTTAAAGTTTTAAACAACTAGATTAAAATTAAACTTCTGAGGACAGCTCAAAATAGGAATTGTTTACCCATGTATATCAACACTATGGTGAATAGTTCAAAATAAAAAGAATTTCTACTAGGTGTTATTTCAAGCATTATGCCCTTATGTCCCCCGAAACAATTTATAATAAAACTGCTACTGCTCCTTGAACGCACCTCAGGATGGCCCGTACTTTGGAACCACTAGCAAAGAAGATCTTTAAAGGAATTTTGGTAGCCGAACTTGTAGGCCTTTTTGGAGCATATTTTTTGTTTAGCAAGATGCACACAAGCCAAGATTTCAGGCAAACAATGAGCAAGAAATATCCCTTCATCTTGGAAGTTTATTACAAATCCACTGAGAAGTCTGGAATGTATGGAATCAGAGAGCTGGATCAAAAAACATGGTTGAACAGCAAAAATTAGATCCAGTCATCATGTTCAGCCTCCCATCTAAGCTGTTTGAGACCTTTGGGAGAAGAAAAGATGAGTGTACTACCACACTGTAGACTCCTGGCGGTCCCACAGAACATGCTGCTGAGTCACAGGAACTTCTAGCCTGCCTTGGCCTGCCGTTTCCCACCCACTATACAAACCCACTGCTTGTTTGTTGCTTTTCTTCTCATATTTATTGTCAAAGATTAATGTCTCATAAAGAAATGACTAAGGAAGGAAAAGAAACAAATGCTCTAAAGATCTTCTTTCCCCAAGCAGTTTTACTGGTGAAACAAAAACCAGTAACAATCAATATCAGAAATAATTAAAATGTCTATAAACATGTAAAGTTACTTAGCAAACTCATGCTATATAAAAATGGCTCACTTCCCCCCCCCCAAAAAAAAAGAAAAAAAAAACTGCTACTAACTTTATAGGGAGATATTTCTTTGTATAATCTTTATATTTGTGTTTCTTTGTGTAATCTTTGAAGTAGTAACAGTGGCCTTTACTTCTCACCCTCAAATCCTCATTTTCAAAGCCAGTTGCTTTGTGTCTTCATAGCACAGTTAAAGAGGGTTCGTCTTGGATAGAGTCAGACTCCAGAATTAGTTTGATAGCTTTTTATTGACTCCATAGAGCTCTGGAGCTCTATGCTAATTGGTTAAAAAGTGAACAGGTAAAAGTAATGAAATGACACCATAAAGGGGACCATACTAGGGGAAGATAATGTACAACTCCGCAGACCATTAAATTACCTCTCTTGGTTTGTTCCAATAACATACATAGTCTTAATGCCATATGTTCTGTATTACTAACATGTATCTGAGACTCATCCAGGGTCACTTTCTTTTTTAAATATCCAACATTGCTTCATACAGTCTTCAAGCAAAATACTGTGCATAGCAGAGTCTTCAGCATGATCACATCCTTTTATATGTAAACAAAAGCTTCTTTCAAATTTACACAGCATTTTGAATCTCTAACATTTGGATTGGAAGACGAAAGTGTTGCACATTCATTCATTTATTCGACCATATGTTCAGTCATGCAACAACATATATCGAAACTTTATAATATCAAGGCACTAGGTTAAGATCTATGGAATGAGAGACAAAAGACCCATTCTTTCTAAACACAGAAGGAAGACAATTTTGAAAGTTTGCTGACAATTTTAACATAGTGTAACTAAGTGCTTTTATAGAAGTATTCATAGAGTGAAGAAGTGGCAGTATCTAACTTACCCTTGGTATGGAATATTGGGAAATAATTCATAGAGGAGAAGCCACTCATCTTAAGTCTTGATGAATATGTCATACATAAACAGCAAGGAGGTGGAAAGAGGGAAGAACCTTCTAAACAGCCTTCCTATTTCCCAAAGAAATTAAAAATATATGGCAGGAACCTCGGCCCTGAGCCCCAAGTCAATCATATAAGCATTTCTGAGTCATAAAATTCCATCCTTCTGCTACCATGTATAGAATTACTTGTTAATGGTTGTAATTATGTGATATCAAAAGCACAGAAGTGGTAATTGGGGTACAGTCAGTGTAGGGGGTAAAAATTATTTTCCCAGAGGAGAGTTGGGTTATGAGTTTCCAGATGCGGAGCCATACTAGCATTTTGTTCACACTGTACCAGCCTTTTGATATATGCCCAATGTGTAGCTTGGTGAGGAGGTTTTAGTGTTTACAAGGTGCTCTAACTAGTATCCTGTGTAGGTTAAGACCAGGTAACAAGCTGGATGTGTCAGACCAGCTCTCAGTTCCACAAAACCATCTGAAGCACCAGAGTCCACTATTACCTTTGGAATGGTATGTTGGAAGTCTTGGGCATTGGCATGAGTGCAAGGTGGAAGGGATAGCCACCCTGCTGAGAGGTCAAGTGACTCTTTGAGGTGGTTTCTGTGTCTCTACATTCTGAGAATCCATGGACAAAGGGGATTTCCATGGTATATACCCAACTCTTGGAGGGCAGAAGGTGGTCCCAGGGTATATTATCCAGTGCACAAAATCCCTAAGAAACTCACTGAATTTGTCAGCACCTTTGCAGCTCATTACTAGAGCATTTTTGAATTCCTTGTGAGCTACATACAGAACCAGCAGTGCTGTCTCAAGCTCGTTGTTTTCTCAACTCCTGGTGCCACTGTTGTGCTATTTCCCTGAACCCTATTTTAAGTGGCCACTGGCAGAATTTCCCTTGTAATGCAAGGAAATATGCCAATAGCCAAGCCCTCTCCCCACCACCCAAGAAAAGGAGTGATTATTTTTCTGGATTCCCATACAGTATGTATAGATGATTCCATCTAAAGAGAAGTGGAAATCTAGTGCACCTGCTTCTGTGTCTTACCTTGCAGCACCCCTTCTATTTTCTTTTAAATAACCAGAAGAAAGCTTTCTACTTCTGGATGGGCCTTCGCTTAGATGAAACTCAATGACCAAGTCCTCCAGGTTCACCTCTTGTTATATGGAATGAAGAACTATGAAATTCACAAATCTTTCTAATTTCATAAAGTAGCTCTTTCCAAGACTGTTGTCTTGCTACATTTGATGGTAACTTTGTTCTGTGAGTACTTCTTGCTACCCTCCCTGGGGAAAAGCAGGTTGAGGGTGACAAGAGAACATTATATACAAGGGGAAAAATAGGTTAATGTTTGCAAAATACTATCCCTGTACCACTGCGAAAGAAAGTGACCCAAATAATTCAAGGGTATGATACTTCAACAGGTAAATGAAAAGAAGCCTAAATATGCAGGTTTGTGAATAGAGTCCCTGTATCTGCAAGCTTAACTGGTCAGTCTTTGATAGGCTTTTAAGCAAGGACATTTCAATGATGTGGGGAAAAAAACCAAGTGCCACAAAGCTTTGAGAATCAATTATCCATATGTTAAAAAAAAAAACCGGGGGGTTCACTTCAAGGTGTGTATAAGCAATTACCTTGTTAATGCAGATGTGAAAGTTAGGCAAGAGAGGGTATGGATGGGAAGAGGGTGTGTAAGTACAGAGAAAGCGCTCTTCTAGCCTTAACAAAGACAAGAACAGCTCAGTAAATCATGTGCTTTCTGATAGAAAATGGTGAGTCTTTTACATATAAATAAAGGAATTATCTAAAACAGTAAATAACTGCATGTGTTGGAACACACTAAAATATCTGAGTAATTTTTACTACTGCGTGATCTGAAGTTTCTTTCAAATACTTTATAGTTTCTTCCTATGTCTCAAACAGGGACTATTTGAGTTTAATTAAGAGTTAAGCCTGGGCGCAGCGGCTCACGCCTGTAATCCCAGCGTTTGGAAGGCCTAGGCGGGCGGATCACCTGAGGTCAGGAGTTTGAGTCCAGCCTGACCAACATAGAGAAACCCCGTCTCTACGAAAAATACAAAATTAGCCGGGCATGGCGGCACACACCTGTAATCCCAGCTACTCAGGAGGCTGAGGCAGGAGAATCACTTGAATCCGGGAGGCAGAGGTTGCAGTGAGCCAAGATCGCACCATCGCACTCCAGGCTGGGCAACAAGAGTGAAACTCTGCCACAAAAAAAAAAAAAAAAGAGTCAAAGAGTCAAATGCACACTATTCTAGGTCAGGTATATGTTAGAACACCAGACAGTTCTGCAAAATGGAGTATAAAAAAGCAAAGAAAATACTCCTATTCTCAAAATTAATGAATTTTTGCTGTAAGAGTGAAGCCTTTTGAAATCAAAGATACTGAGTTCATTATAATGCCTCATGGCTTGAGGGGCTCAGAATATACATTGATAGGGTATTCACAATGATCTTACTTCATGTTATAAAGTAGCAAATAAAAATAAAAATAAATATTTTGAAGTATGGAAGCTATTTTTGGCCTAATTTTTGCTCTAACAGTATAAAAGAGACATAGGCAAAGTAAAAGAGAACTTCTTACAAATATTACTACTGATATTACTGTGTTTATTCTATAAAATTTTCACATAAATTTATTCATAATAAATCTGTAGAAGTCTTATTGCTACCTTCAGATTTCTTCAAACCGAGTTTGTCCCTCAATCCTCCCTCCTTCTTTAAGCATGGATTATTATTTGTTTTTGAAGGGGAGGAAGCTCCACTTACTTTTTTGCTCCTACTTCTGATCAAGGTATTTTTACTTCACCCTTCTTTTTAAAAATAATTTCAGCTGGTATTTTAGATTCAGGGGGCATTTGTGCAGGCTGGTTTCTTAGCCAGGGGTCAGATATCCAGGGAGGTCTCCAGGCTATGCCCAGAGAAACAAGGGGTAAGCAGGTCGGGGTCAACCAGTTACTGTACTTAAGTGGGCAGAAGGGAAATTAGAAGACTGTGGGTGCGTGGAACCAATCACAGGTAATATCTCAACACATTATTCTGCCATGCTATGATATGTACAGTGTTTATAGGGATGACAGAGATGAGAAAAGGCTTAAATAAAATATACCTCATAAAACATTGAAGAGACAGTAAAATAATACCATAGACATAGATAATGCTTACAAATATTTCTTGCTCCTCTCCCTTTTTGCTCTGCCATTCCTGGTGTCTCTCCTGTAGGTTGTGTAATTGGGGTTGACATGATTTGTCATTTGCACCATGACACGCATTATACAGAATGCCAAATTAGATCCATGCACATTCCAAGAAAAATGAGGAAAGAAACACCTTCAAAAACACTGTGATACATGCTTTATGCTGTGTGTGTGTGTGTGTGTGTGTGTAAAGTCATTTGGATCTGCCCATACTTTGGCCTGTTAGCTTATTTTTGGTGCCACACGAGTCAGTTAAGATGAGAATGGTAATTTGTTTGAGTGGATGTGGTAATGCATTGCTTTGGAAGCAAGGTGCCTGTGTACTCGGGCATACCATGACAACAGGATAGCATGGAAAGGTATGGACTGCAGAAGGGGTATGTTCGGATTAATGAAGTGAGATGAAAACTTTCTTAGATTTCCGTTCCAAGTACTATATGGGATGGGGGAAGAAAGGAGAGAGGGGAGGAGAGAGAGGAGGAAAAGGAACAGAGGAGAGAGAAAGAGAATAAATACAAAGAAAGTTCTAATGGTTAGGACTTAGTGTGGTGAGAATTGAGGCTGGAGATCAACATCAACCTCTGTGCCCATGGATGGAGCATGAGGGGAAGCTCCAGCATTGACCATGAAACAGCTGAGCTCCCTGCCAGCAGCCAGAGTCAACAGTGTAATGTGGTATAAGAGATCCAGGAAGGCTGAGGCCAAGCAGAAGAGACAGAGGCCTGTGAGCTTTAAAAGACACGGAAAATCCCGGCACCCTCAAAACTGAGAAAGAAGATAATGGATCCAAATCAAAAAATCTCAGCAAAATATCCAAGCCAAAGAGGCAACCCACCTCATCACAAAATTTAAAAGGAGGTAATAGAGTAAAGA